CCCTGAAAGATATTGGAAGGGACAGTCCACCAAAGTAACGAGTCTCGTATGTTGGGAGGGGGGGATAGGACGACAGTGTGAGCGTTGTTCCCTGGGTTGTAATTCCGGATGAACCACAGTTGTAAACGATGCATTTTCAGTTTGGCAAAGACGAGAACCGACGTAGTTGCAGCCATAAGGCCAAGCAGCCTTTGGATTTGAAAGGCAGTGACAGAAGGGTGGGTACGGACGACGGTGGCTAGGAAAATGATGTCTGCCACTCTGTCTTGAGGCAGGTAAGCCATGCATGTCGTGGAATCTAGTACAGCGCCGATGTACTTTATTCTTTGGGCTGGACTCAATTGAGACTTTTCTCGATTGACTTGTAGGCTCAGATTTTTTAATAGTGCCAGTGTCTCGGTGATGTTTGAGACCAGGGCATTCTGGGAAGGCGCTACCAAAGCCAATTTTCGATATAGGGGTAGATGGAGATACCCCGGAGACGAAGGAAAGCCGCAACCACAATCATAGACTTTGTGAAGACTCTTGGGGCGCTGGACAGGCCTAATGGCAGGGCTGCATACTGGTAATGCTGTTGACCAATCACGAAGCGTAAGTATTGGCGGTGGGAGGGGTGGATGGTGAGGTGGAATTACGCAGCTTGGAGGTCGAGGGTGGCCATCCAGACGTGTTTCTGTAGGAGTGGCATAATCTGCTGTAAGGACACTATGCAGAAGCGATGGTAGGTTACAAAACAGTTCAGTGCCCTTAGATATAAAATGGGTCGAACAACTCCATCTCTCTTCGGGACTGTGAAGTATCGGGAGTAAAATCCCGTCCCGTGGAGGTGTGGTGGTTCCTATTCGATGGCTCCCTTCTGCAGAAGGACAGACACCTCTCCAGGAGAGGTGGGGAAGGGGCTGTGGAGACGACGACAGGAGTAATGAAGTTCTGGTGGAATTGGATACGGTAGCCTCGGGTCAAGTTGGACAGCACCCATTCGTCCGAGGTGATGTGACGCCAAGTATGAAGGAAGGGTGATAGACGGGTTTGAACTGACTCGGTGACAGG